GAACCCCAAGAGCGCCTACGTTTTCGAAGTGATAGCACCTAGTTTACCTGGCTATGGTTGGTCTCAGGTAATAAACATATTATACTCAGCATTGATAACATGTGAAATTCAAAATTTTAACTAATTCCATCCACATTTACAGGGCGCCTCAAAGACTAACTTCGGTCCAGCTCAGATGGCAGTGGTTTTGCGTAATTTGATGTTGCGTTTGGGACATGACAAATTTTTAATACAAGGTGGCGATTGGGGTTCCTTAATCGGTTCGAATATAGCCACTCTGAGACCTCAGAATGTACTGGGATATCATTCGAATATGTGTGGTACAAATCATCCAATGTCACATTTCTTTAAATTTTTACGCGTATGGTTCCCATTTTTCTTTGTAAAAAGCGAACAAAAAGTTTTCTTCAAACCTTTCGGCAAAGAGTTTACGTACATCATGGAAGAGTCTGGTTACTTCCATATTCAAGCAACTAAGCCAGATACCATTGGGACTACGCTCCTGCAGAATCCTGTGGGTTTGGCTGCATACATCCTTGAGAAATTCTCTACTTGGACCAACCCTGAATACAAAAAACTTGAAGATGGTGGTTTAACTAAACGTTTCACGCTGGATGAGCTTTTGGATAACATAATGATCTACTATACAACAAACTCGATAACCACATCGCAGCGTTTGTATTCCGAAGCATTTAGCTTCGCTCAAATGGATTTGAATGTGGATGCTGTGCATGTTAACCAGCCCACCGGCTGTGCTCGATTTGTGCACGATTTGAGACATTCAACCGATCTTGAGCTTTCAACTAAGTACAAGAATCTCATCCATAGTACATATCACAAAGATGGTGGTCACTTTGCAGCACTTGAGTTACCACAAATACTTTACAATGACTTTGTAGAGTTTGTCGATAAAGCGCTAACCCAGAAGCTGGCCAATTAAAGAAAATGTCGTGATTTGACATTGATAAGCAACCAAATAATTTCCATATCTTTTTTATGAATATTTTTGCTAATAAATTTTTAAATTTATCGCACGCTTTTTTTCTTTTTCTGAATAATCACGCAGTTGAATGGTGTGGCAGAATTCGCATTTGCAAGGCAATTTCGAACAATTTTTTTTTT